GATGCTAATTACGATCAGATGCATATACAGTATGTCAGCGGACCGAACGGGGAGCCATAGCGAGCTGCGAAAAGGTATATAAAGAAGAATGATGCCTCTTCAGTACTACCACCAACAAAGATCTTCAAAGATGCGCGTTGCCATTGTCCTCTCCCTCGTGGCCATGTTGTTCTCGGTCGTGTCGGCGTCGTCGCTGTGCTTCGGACGCCCAAGCTTCCTTGGCTCGACCTGTGCTGCTGAATGCAGTGTTCGTGGCCACCACGGTGGATCGTACTCCAACGGCCAGTGCTGCTGTGGCGCTTCAACCAAGCGCGGTGAAGAGACGCACACGCAGGAGGAAGACCTCAAGAGTGCTGAGGACTTCTTCGGTGGCAAGTTGCTGATGTCTGACGACGATTCTCTCGAGGTGCACAACGGACCCTCCGTGAGCCGTGTCTCTTGCTCTGCTTGCAACATCGGAGGCTTCAACGGTGGCGGTCTTTGCTGCAAGGCCAGCTGCGCTACGGTTGGCAAGCCAGGTGGTTACTGCAATGGTAACAACGTGTGCGTGTGCAAATAAGCACGCGAGAGACAAAGCAAGTATGATTATTAAGATAGTTTGTGTGTGATAAACGTATGAATTGTATGTATGGGGACTCGGTTCCACGTGTGATTACAACTTGAACGTGTCGATGGCAGTCTGGCACGGCCGATGACCGGCCTGTTTGCGTGTGCTCAGCTCAGTGCACGCCTGGGACGGGTGTAGACAAATGCATTCAACTTTTGCGCTTGATGAGACCCACTTTTATCACAGGTGCTTCCCCATCGAGGCGACTATGCATGACTTGGTATCTCGAGCAGTTTTAGATTCTCTGCGTTCGTCCTTGAAGGAACGTGATATACCTATTCATCCGATATGAAAAAAGAAAAAAAAAATCTGGGCTAGACTTGAAGTAGCAAAAAAAAAAAAAAAAAAAGCTTGTTGCTTGCGTAGAAGAACTTGATATTCCGTTGATCTCGACCCACAGCTGCGCGGCGTGGACCTGGGGAGTTTGGCAGATCTGGGCACCTGGTGTCCCGTTGCTTACGTATCACGGTTCCTGACCACATTGATTCTTCATTTGGCACGCAGTTGGATTATCAATTCAAAATCAATCCCCTGGTGTGGGATTCATGCTTACCGTAGAGGCGATAATGTCCAGTTAAGTTGTAGAAGAGCAGTTGTTACGAGACCTGGTCAATGCAGACAGATGAAATGCAATCAGACTCTCGCGAGTCAGATGTGGGGCGATGGGAGAGACAGGTAAGAGTAAGAGGGCGAATAAAGTAAATAAATAAATTAGTGGCTGCCTTTCCTCATAACAACGAGCAAAGCAGCTTACATATATGAAAGCAAGCGGGACCTTAAGCTAGGGCCCATTCTGAATGAAGATGCTGAATAGACACGAACACACGTGTGATACGAAATGTGCGCATGATATGTCTGATGCCCCGAGACTACGTGCGTTTCTTATGGTACTTTGCTATAAAGAAAGATAAGAAAAGGGGAGTGGCATATGTTGCCTAGTCAAGACATGGTATAAACACGCGCAAGACATTGTGAGAAGTAGCCCAGACCGAAAACAATCGAAATACACTTTTCCTGTATGAAATATGGAAATATATGCATATATATGTATGACATACGTTCATAAAGACACGTAGCTGAGGTGGTGATGGGCAAAAAAAAAAGATTGCAAGGCCAGAGGGGATGCATAAAAGACACTATGATGTGGAGGGGAAAGAAAGGGAGAACTTTATCAAAGTACGAGTGCGAACAAAAAAGGGGCCAAAAATATGGAGGTGGAAGAGAAAGTGGCGGCAAAGATGATGAAATCGAGATCAACTCAGCCGGATGAAATGAGAACGGAATGAGGATCGAGGGCCACATTACTAAGAAAGATGAATGCAGGGAATGTCGCTACAGACATGAAACAAACAGACGCAAAATGGACGAAGCACATCTGTAGACATATTTACATAGAATGAGAAAGAATTGCGATATGCACTCAATGGAGGCAAATTGATTGACTACATCGATGGAACGACATGAGAAAGAGTGGAGAGGAGAAAAAAAAGACAAGAGCAAGAAAGGTAGAACGGAAGGGGAGAGAGGGAAAGAGAGGAGAGAAAAGGGAGGGGGAGAGGTGAAGCGGAC